TGTTCCAGCACCTCACCACTCTAAAGTAAAGAACTTCCCCCTGATATCCAACCTAAATGTTCCATCCTTCAACTTAAAACCATATCCCCTTATCCTACTGTTATCTACCCTTTCAAAGAGTTGAAAGGGTAAAGGTATACTTGTAAGAATATGTGCCATATCAGGATCTATAAGGCAAATGTGAACTGCATTTGATGGTTATTTCAGTTGGAGCTTCTCTCAGGTTAGAGATGGCAGGAATGAAGTTGGTCTTTGTCCTAAGTTCTGCTTTCAGTTTAGTGAAGCCTGATGTTAATGTTTTAAAATGGTCAAAGGAAAAAAATACAGTTATTTAAAGAGAGAATCAAATGGAAAAATTTGTGAAGAAGGTGCCCTGTTTAAATCATGCATGCTTTATTTTTAGTTTTCTGCCTGTAAGTTCCCGTATTCGTATCCTCCGAATGCAAGACCCTGAAAGAGGCCAAAGAACATTGACGTTCCGTAATAGGAACGAAGAAGAGGAAGATGATTAAGTATAAGGCATGTGAATATGGCACAATATTGGGGATAAATGTTCACTGATGTCTGTAAAGTTGCTGTTTCCTACTGTTGGGTAAGAGGATCTTTTCTTATATACCCTCAGGAAAAGAAGCTTCTGTATTTCATATTTTATTTGTTTACTCTTAGAAGTACTTGTATATGTTTTTATAGCACAAGGTTTTCCTGGTTAAAATCCTTACAGCTCAGCTCATACTTTTCACAAACAACTATTTGAGTGTTTCTGTTTATGGGGGGAGAGGGTGGATGGAAGAGGAATATGACATGAATTTTGTGTAACTGCAAAGTTATATTTTAATAAACGGAACTCCAGAACTACTGCTTGTGATCATGCTTTAGTGTCTCTGTGCTCTGAAGATTGGCCTTAAGTTAAAGATCGTGCTTTATTCCTGGTTCTGCTTTGTTTCTTGAACGTGTGGTAGTTCACACATGAAGTAAAACTCTATTTATTAATTTATGTACTTGCAGTAGAAGCACCACAGCTGAACATGAACAACAATTTCTGAGTAGTGCGGATTTTCATAATCACAAGAGTGAAGATTTCTTTGCACTGTATTCTCAGAGCAGGAAAAAGGGCTTGTTCTTTCCCCAGCAGCTTGTAGGGAATAGTTTGTCCTTGAATGTGAGCTTAGAGAAACAAGTAAGTTATGTCTTAACATATTCTGCCTGTATATTCCTTATATATTCTGTATATGCTGTTTATGAGGGTTGATAGTGATAGGACAAGGGGGAATGGCCATAAACTGAGACAGGGGAGGTTTAGATATTAGGGGGAATTTTTTCACACAGAGGGTAGTGATGCACTGGAACAGGTTGCCCAAGGAGGTTGTGGATGCCCCATCCCTGGAGGCATTTAAGGCCAGGCTGGATGTGGCTCTGGGCAGCCTGGTCTGCTGGTTGGTGACCCTGCACATAGCAGGGGGTTGAAACTGGATGATCATTGTGGTCCTTTTCAACCCAGGCCATTCTATGATTCCTAATTCTCACTCTTGCACAGACTGAGTTTGCAGGCATTCATTATATTGTAACAAAATGAAATGATGGAGGTCCTTCAATATGGAGGAATGTAGTGGAAGATTTTTGAGAAAGAGTAAAGAAACTTCTAAACTGTCAGCTTCTTTTTTTCCTGGTACTGTTCTTGAGTGACTTTTAAACGGAGAAAGAAAAAACAGATTTTCCAAACTCCCAAATTAATACCCTCCAGTTCTCTCCAGGAACTTGCAGTTATTGGGAGCTCTTCAGAAACAATTCATTTAGAGTTCAGCTACCGGGCATATATATCCAAATTTCTTTTTAACATTACAGGAGTCATTAAGACTGTTGAAGGAACAGTTCTACCATTACTACTGGAGTTATTTACCAAGTAGCAGCTCCTCAGTAAAATACCATTGCAATTTAAATTGTAAATTGACTTAGTGGCAAAAATCATAGTTGACTACAGAATGGTACTTTGTGTTCTTTGATGTTGTTTAGTTTTTATACAAGCACCATTAAATTTGTGGATGTCTCAAAGATAAAGAAGATAACTGTGAACTGAAGGAAATGTTCTGGAACTGCTGTTGGTTTTCTTGGTGGGTTGAAACTCCAGCAATGAAGTCTACTCATCTTTTAAAGACTTCAGATGCTTACTTCTGAAAGCTTAGGAGAATGGGCCAGCAGACTGTGAGCAAGCTCGCCCCGTGCAAGAGGAGGTAATGGCAGAACAGTGCCAGGCTGCTTACTGAAGTGCATGGCAAGAGAATGGGAGACAGTGGCTCTGAATTGCAGTGTTGAGCTTCTGACTGCAGTAAATGGGGAAGAGGGACTGTTCACAATGGGGGTAGGGGGCATTTAAACATATTGTACTGCCAGGCTGTAGGGCCTCCTTCCTTTGCAGGGTTTCAGGTTCTGAATAGTACTGCACCTCCTTCAAGCAAAGTGTAAGGTCCTCTGCAGGCTCCTACCAAGGAGTGATTCTGTAACCCTGTGGTGTGATAGTAAATACTTTAGTCCTAAGCAAGTTGTAGGTATCTGTGTGAGAACATTGGCAAGAGGAGGGGAGATGGGACATGCGAACTGCATCCTATATGGAACTTTCCTGGAACTTGAGCCAAATTTGTGTTTTTCTGGAAATCAATACTCTTACGTGGTATTGAACCACATCTTCAGAGTGACTTGGTTTTATGATGGAACTAGAATGCTTCAGTAGCTTTATTTCCTCCTGATTTTCTTCAGCTTCCAAAAAATAAAAGAGTGCAGAGGCAGAGGAAAACCTTTATCTTCAGTAGTGCTTTTATAATGGCTTGCGGGAAAAAGAGATTAAGGAATATCACGACGTTTCTACTGAGCTACTTGAGGTTGCTCTGAAGTTTTCTACAGGCTTGCTTCAAATATTGGAGCAATTGGCAATGATTCCAGTCTTTGATTCAAATCATTTACTGTGTTGTAATCTAGCATTGTGCTTGATGAAAATCTGTGCCTGGTTGTATAATAGTTACAAGCAACTATTTTCATGGTAGAGAATTAGCTCTGAGTAAACCAAGACTGGAGCAGTTGCTTGGATACTTTGCAGTGATTGTTCTCAATTCTCAGAGCTATCTCATTCTTGGCTCTTAAAGAGCTGAGTTTCCTGTACCACCTACCCAGAGAGACTTGTGTGATGCTGTTACATTTGAGTCTAGGTTGAGCTGTAGGTGTTTTGGATGGCAGTGCAGTCCTTAATGTTTTATTCAAGTAGATGGAGCGTGTCCACTTGGGTAGATTTAAGGTGCAGGGAAATGTGGAATGATGCACGGCAGCCCTTATAAGCATGTGTAAGCAAAGAAGGCATAAAATCCCAGGCTTATTCAACATTTCTGTATCACTGGTAATTTTAGCCTACATGGAAACAACGGGCATATCATACTCGGAAGTATGTTATAGTTTCAGAACTTTTATTTTTAAGTTACAGCCAAACACACAAAGTATAGCACTATTTTGGCAAGAATACTACCTGTGTAGGCTAAGTAAAATTCTGGTATTAAAAAAAATAGTAATAATAATTGAAACTTCAGTGTTTTCTTATTTCTTTGGAATATGAGGAAAAAGTAAATAGGAGGGGATGGTTGTGATTGTGGTCAGACTGATTCCCCTCCCTTGCCGTTTAGATTTGAAATTGCAGACAATGATTTGTTTTGTGCCGTGCTTTATTGTCTGATTTTTAGCTACTATGGTCTTATTTCCGAAGGCAAAGTAGAAATATCCAACATGTAACCGTCACCCTTTCAGGTTTTTTCGTGGGTGTAAAAGTATGAACAGTTGACTTTGTTTAAAGCAACTGGGAAACCTGGTATAAGGAAGATTGTCTGCAGAATGCACGTGTTCTCCATGCTCTCCCAGGGCTGTGCAGAACTCATACTTGCCACACTATGGGCATAACCTTGGTTGATGCAGACAGAGTTGAGAACAAAGGTTGTTCTTTGATCCCTTCTCAATTATCATACTGCAAAACTATCAGCCAACATTTTTGACAGTATTTATTTATATAATGCCTGTGGTGGTTTCATGTCGTTGTAAGTGGAAAAACTCTTAAGGTGGGAAAAACATTAGAAGACCAGGGTTAGGCCAAGCAAATAAACTGTATTTGTCTTCCAGCTAGCTGAAAAAGTGATGTAAGCACAGGTCTAGTAGGTATACTGTTAATTTTAGCATTAACATCTTAGAGGATAAACAGCTGCTCTGTTGGAAATACAAGCACTACAACTGTTCATTTTGTATAACATGACTCTTATACCGAGTGAGTGCAAAGTTTTCTTCATGCTTTCCATAACGAAATATATATATTTCCCAGTAGTACAGTGACAGATAAGTAAAGATAGATTTATAGATTTTCTATTACCATGCTGAAGACGTGAAATAAGAATTAGGGGAAAAGGTCAAATGTTATAAATTTATTTGGGACATATATATTGCAACCTCTGTGGAAGCTTTTGAAAATTCAGGCAAAGATCAATACACTTCCAATAAAACCTTTAAACTTCCGATAAAACAATATTTTAAACATTTTATATATATATATATTTATATATGCTTTGAAGGGGAACATTTTAGCAGGATTTGCTTTTTTATACTGCATTCCTCTGACACAGCTCTTTCCAGATAGAAGGGATGCAAATGAGGTAAGAATTAAGGCAAACCTAAAAGGCATGCAAATGAAGTACATTTATATCCACTGACAATACGAGCACGTGTGTGGATCAGACTCAAGAACTGAGGAACTCTTCCCTCTGTCTGTCCAATACTACTTTACAGCAGAATGGTGGCGTGGTTTATAATAAACAATTAACATTACCATGGGAATTCAGTGTCACTAACATTACTCAGTCTAGGAGACACAGAGCTAGCATCAGTAAAACATGAACAATAAATAATATAATTCACTGCAGCACAGGACTGCTGCACAGGCTTCAGAGGAATAGGGTTGGTATGAAATGACATTGCACACATCACGTTGTGGCAGTTTATTTTTATAATATATACTTTTAAAATTCTTTAGCAAATGACATTCTCATGCACACAAGTGTTTCAAACACAAGAAGCAAGTCCATTTATAGGTAGTCCAAGCAAATTTCTGTGTGTGTGGAGATAGCTGCAAACTGAATGGAACATTAAACTTCTGTGCAGTCTATGATGCATTATACACAAGCTCATTTTTGAATGTCACACTGCAGGAGTAATACAATGGAAGGATCACTCTTTGCAGCTTCTTTGAATTCATCCAGTGTGATCTGGTCATCTTTGTTCTTATCCATCTTACTGAAGATCTTGTCTACCCGCTGCTCAGGCGTCAGGCCATCTTCATTCATCTTCATCATTATCACAGTGCCTACCATTTTGTAGATGGCCTTTGGAAAGAAACCAAATAGAAAAGTCAATATAAGGGTTAGCTTGATTTTATTGTACTTTATTCATTTATTTTTTTTAATGTGTTCAAATTCCAGAATGATGTTCTAACAGTAAAGTGATTGCCAGCTTCCCCGAGCATTTTTCTTTTTCATGCAATCTGAAATCTGTTCACTGAAAACAGATTTACTTTCTTCTTCAGGTGTAGGCTTCTTTCAGCAGTTGCATTTTGCATGCTGGAGTAAATTTCTTTGGTTTTACAGCACCAAACTGTTGTAACCTATTCTCTGGTGAACGGTTTGTTTGGTTTTCAGTGATTCCCTTGAGAAATTCCATGGAAATGATGAATAAACAGTTTTAGAAGTCATCTCCTTTGAAAAGCTTGCCGTGTGTACTCATGAGCAAAGCCTGGAAGTAACCACTGTGGCTAGGAGCTGGCAGAGACTGGGGAAGTAAGCTTTATACTTCTCCTTATATACAACAGTTGTCTTCAATCTTTATTCTGTTAGTGAAAGCCTGCTTAGAACTGCGTGCTGTTATCTCTGTACATTTCTGCAATAACTTAACCTCCATTAAGATTTCAGTCACTCAGGCAGAAACCTTAGCAGTAATTTCGTGCACGCCTGGTGGTTTTGCAATGGGCTTTGCAAATCCTTTGCTATGCTGTTTTTGTGTTGAATCCATTCATTGGCAAACAAACGTACCTCTTGATATTTAAAAGCCCATGTGCACATATGTACTTACAGCAACTCTCAACGATTACATGTCCATTAAAATCAGTGTGTTTAAATCACTTACTGTGTGTGTCAGTATCAGATAAATGTATATAATGTGCTTTTTTAATGATAGAGCCCACGGCCTCGTGTGTTTAAAATCTAGAAGATTTTGTGAATCATGTTCAGATGTGTTCTTTTTGAGTGCCACACTGTTCTCACCTCTATGATTTCCAGCATTTCCACCCTTGTAATCTTCCCATCACCATCCAGGTCGTACATGTTGAAGGCCCAGTTTAGCTTCTGCTCAAAGCTGCCTCTGGAGGTGATGGACAGTGCACAGATGAACTCTCTGAAGTCGATGGTCCCATCTCCGTTTTTATCAAAGGTTCGGAAGGCGTGCTGGGCAAACTTGGAAGCATCTCCATACGGAAAGAACTGCAAAATAAAATAATAAAATGGTTTCCAGCTTTCAGCCTTGCAAGTTCAACCCAGCGCTCCAAACTCAGTGCCACCATTAGAGGTACGGTATCTGAAAGTGGAGCTGCCTCTGGCAATGGTCCCATTTGCTCCACGTTGCAGTTCATCTCACTGCCTGTGTTCTTCGGGGGAAGCAGCTCCCAGGTTGTAATGAGCTGGGGCTGCTGAACCCTGTTTCATGCAGTAAACTGCAGTGAAAGATGCAGCTTGTGATAGTGCAGTGCTAAGGAGGTGGTGCTCTCAGCACCACAGCCACACTTGTGAGCCAGACTCACTCTCATCTGATCTACGCTGCGTTAGAAGCTATTTCAAATCAGACAGCTGATGCCCAAGCATTTACATTTACAGCTGTTATTATTTACTGCCTTATTCTCTGACTATGAAATACAGCAAGCAAGCTGAATTTTAGTAGTATTTCATTCAGCTTGGCAATAACAGCTCTTAGAAGGCTGCAACCAAGTACATGTGTGGGCTCCTTGTGAAAATTTGTTTCATAAAATAGCCCTCACTGTGAAAAATCAAAACCACGTTCTCTTTTGCTGGTAACCTAATACAAGTAGGTAAGGTGAAAACTGAGATTTTGTTAAAGGATATGGGGCTGCTCATCTTTAATAGCTGCTGTTAGTGATCACCGTAACCGAAAAGTGTTTCAAATGACCGTCACATGTGGGATTTCAGCTGTTCTTTGTGTTTTGAACTTCGTGTTATCACAGAAGAGGTATCAGCAATGCTCATCTCCTTCCCCCGTCCTTTCAGGAATGCAGTCTGGAGGTGCAACCAGAGAGATGGGAACACTGTACCTTTTCCAGTGGCATTTTGTTAAGGTCAGCATTTGCTGCTAAACCAGCTGTTTTCCCATTTGGATTGGTATGGTCAGCATCCAGTCACTGGCTCTTGGCTGCTTCTCCCATCACTGAAATGCAGTGCCAGAACCAAAGAACTGGGTTGCAGTGAAGAAGGTCACCTCTGAAAATGGCTGAGAAGTGGCATTAGGAGGGGTTGGTGGTTGGAGGTGCTGATGGCAATTTCTAAATAGTCATGGGGAAACATCTGAAACATCTCACCCCATTAAAGGAGCATCAGCAAGATGTGTCTCTCATGCCAGTCATACAACATTGATGGCATGTAACAGAGAAAACCATCCTCCTAATTTTTTCATCACGAACAGGGCAGTGAATTTTCTCAGTTGAGAAAGGCCACTGCCTTTCAGGCACTTACAGCCTTATAAGGGAACAAATGGGATTGATGCCTTTTTTTTAAATTATTTTCTCTGTATACTCCCTCTAGGGAGCAAATGCAGTAAAAGGTCCTTTGGGGACTGACAACACTTCTCCAGTCTGTACCTGCTGATCTCTATTATTTTTAGCTCAGAACAACTAAAAAACATTGTCAAAACTTGTTTAGAAACAGCCTTGTAGGCTTCCATGTTAAACTGGTCTTAGCCAAGTGGAAATGGGAGACACAATTCTGGAAGACAAGCACCCATTTTTGGCAGATGGAATACACATAGTTTAGGCTGCCTCATGTGGTACCACTGAATGTCACAAAAACAAGCAAAGGAATGTAATGGGGATTGTCAGAGGCCCACAATGGCTGGGCAGGTCAGTGGGTTCCTCAGCAGCCTTGGAAGCCCCGTGCCCAGGAGATGAATTTACACAATAGGGCAAGCACTCCCTTTCTGCTGCTGCAGTGGTGCTACTGAAAAGTGTACCCCCTCTTTGCACACTGTATCCTGCTTTACCCTTTTCACCCAAAACCAAGGCCAGTTGTGTCTGCCTGGGCTTTCTGCAGCACTCAGTTCTATGAGTGACCAAACACTGATTGTTCGTTTCTTCTTGTCTAGTCCCATCTCTTTCCTGGCCTGATGATTTTCCAAACGAGTTAGGTAACACACTGGTGTGGGACAAAATTGTTATCCATATAGACAACTACTAATTAGGAAATGAAACGGGAAAAGACAGATCTCTTATTTTGCTACTAAATTTTGGAGAAGAAAAATGTCTTGAAGGTTCACTGTTCTGGAAAGCTTCTGGACATCCTTCTTGTACCTGGGATGGTTTCAGAAGGACCACAATACCTAGGACACAGGGTTTGGATTTTGAAATGTGCTCCTGCGTGGGAGCTCCTGTGTTTTGGCTGAACACATATTTTCAGCACTTGTCCACAAAACAGGCTTTCCAAAACAACGCCAGCAGGGGGATGATGTAATGTCCTTACCCTGCTGAAAGGTCTCTGTCTAGATGTGAAACCCTCACATGCACTTCCCTTCTTGCCTGAGACAAACTGAACTTGGGGGAAAATGCCAGCTGCGGATCATTGGAGATCAGGGAGCTGTGAGTTCCCAAATGGGAACAGCTTGCATGAACCAGTGTTAGAAGTTCTCTAATAATCTCTTCTCACTGGGGACAGGTGACAGGATGAGGGGAAATGGCCTGAAATTGCACCGGGGGAAGTTTAGGTTGGATGTCAGGAAAAACTTCCTTACAGAAAGGGTTGTTAAGGACTGGAAGAGGGTCCCCAGGGAAGTGGTTGAGTCACCATTCCAGGATGTGTTTAAGAGCTGTTTGGATGTGGTGCTCAGCGACAATTTAGCAGATTGTTAGGGTAGTACAGTTAGGTTGTGGTTGGACTTGATGATCTTTAAGGTCTCTTCCAACCTGAGTGATTCTATGATTCTAGAGGGATCAGAAAGTACACAACTTTTTTCCTAATCACATCAGTGCCCGAGCATCTTTTTAAGGAGGCAGATTTGGATTCTAAGATTTCCTCCAGTAAGTATTTTAAAATCAACTTGATCTCAGGGAATTTTCACAATTCTCCTTTAATCCCGTCTGTATCATAATGCCAAACACAATACCTACAATTAGCAGTAATCTAATTACCCCAGTGGGGGTTGAATAGTGCCTATGATAACATAAATTTGAAACCATTTCTTTATTTCTACTTCTGTCAACAGTTTTCCCTAAGTTACCATTCTTTGAAATGAATGAAATATTTAATGAACTGAACAATCCAAATGGTGTTACTGAAGACCAGACTCCCCAAGGACGTTTAGATAACCAAGGCAAAGCCCAAAAAAGAATCCAGGCAAGGACGAGTGCAGAGCCATCATCTCCATAGCCATATCTTCCACCAGTCTAAGCTATCCACATGTTTGGTCTATAGATTTCCAAGGTTTTTCCTCACACATCTCATTTCAGCAGACTTTGGACACCTTGTTCCAGAGGCAATTACCAACACCCTGCTACATCAACGTCCTTCTGTGGCACTATCCCCAACTGCCCTTTAAATGAAAAGCATTCAGACAAACTCAGATAACCACTCAGCATTTGAGTCTCAGAGCTTTCCCAGGCAGAGCTTTGCTATACGGATGCAATAAGGAAGAAGAACAGCAGAATTTGACTCCATGAAAGCAGAAGTAATTTTGGAAGTTATGCATGTTTCCATTCACAATTTGATCAAATGTTAAGTGATCTGGATCACAGAAATACAGATGCTCCTGCCCTGTTCTCTGCTCTCAGCCACAGAGCAGCAGACCTCGGCACAGAGGAACACATAAACCACTGGACCACATGCCTTGGAATGGGCTGGGCTGTTTTCTTCATATTTCACTCACTGGAAATCGAGTATTGGATATAATAATTCAATTTCGTTACTGAAACTCCTAGAGATGGAACTGGATCACGTCCCCACACTGTGCTACTGCTGCAATGCTGTAACATGACTGAGAATACCAGAAACAAATTCAAACATGATATTCAGTACCTCTTCTCCATCCTATCCCCTGCTCCTCCTCGCCTTGTATCATCTCTCCATTAGGCAGAGAAATCCTAAGGGAGGCCTAAAAGCTCTCTCAGTGGCCACCCTCAGCTACAGCGCAGATCTCTGTGGGGGAGAAGCAGCGCTGCTTTGATTCAGCCCTGCACAATCCAAAGCAAGTGCTGCACCAGTGGGTCCCATGGGGGATCCACCACAGGTAAAGCCAGAGGAAAACTGGCTGGCTGATTTGGCTCTGTGGGTTAATGATGCATGTGAGAACTGCAGGGAAGAGCAGCAGAGTTTCGTGGAGAACAAAATTATCTTTTCCTAGCTATTTTTACTTTGCCAATAAAGCTGGAAAGAGTAAACATGGCACTCTAATAAACTCGTTCACCATTTGTGAATTGTGTTCCCTCTGCCTTCCAACATGCAAATAGATGAATAAAAATGGTGTGTCAGAATCTGTGGCTTTTTAAATTCAAGTTGTTATTCAAGTTATTCAAGTGTTATTCACGGACACTAGCAGAATCCAAGAAACAGTGACATTTACCTTGTCTGTACGTACTTCTACTGATGGAACAGGCAATGAAGCCACTACATAATCCTGTTTTTCTCTTGTGTTAATGTAGCTGCATTGCTTTAGAAGTCAGATTCATGTTTGTTTTCCTGTTGCTGTTGCCTTTACATAGAGCAAAATATGACCCAATTTCTTTTTCTACCCTCTTCTCCCATTCTGCCTTCCAGAAGTTATTAATTCCCTCTGGCTTGTCATAGACATACCAAAGCATTTCTCATCCAAAGCACGTGAATCCCTGCTATGTAATCAGGACAGAGCCACTTTTCTGTCTCAACTCTAGTGTTTTTATTGTGCTTTATGGATGCAAAAGCTCCAGGGCTGTCACAATCAGGATCTGAGCATGCAGTACCACAACCTGGTAACACAAGTCTGCATGGGTTCGATTAGCCACATTCCTTCCGAGGCCTATATTTAAGCTATTTTCTCAAGTCATCCAAAAATATGAGTCTGACTGTATTCTGCTGAGTATCATGGCACAGAATTACAGTGGATCAATACACATGCATCTGGGCTGCAGCTGAAAGATATGAACTTGAATCTTTCAGCACTGCCACAACTCATTGCTGCAAAGCAGGAATCAGCAAGTTGACTTCTACAGCAAGGCAAATAGAAGAAAATAGAG